GCCTGCTTCTCTTTCTGCCTGTGTCTCTCTGCTTCTCTCTGTCTCTCTTGAATAAATAAATCAAAATCTTTAAAAGATAAAATAAATAAAATAAAATGTACATAAAAATGATATTTACACAACCTATCTCAGAGAACTACTTTCCCTTAAAATAATTCTTGCGAAAGGGGACGCTGTATAATAAACGATGCACAACGCTAGTTAAGTTTGTTCCTTCTTTATAAAAAACAAACGTTTTTTGAAACTTTGAGCTAGGTACTGCACTAAGTGCCAAGAGATGGCTGAACCAAACAAAGAGCCAACCAACTAAAAATTGTTTGTGCCTGTTTAAAGTCTTAAAGTCTGGTAATGAATTATAATAATATACTTTAAATACTAGGTAAATTAATGAATAATGTACTCTGGACACATAAAGGACGATGTGCCTAATGTTGACTATAGGATTCAGGATAAATTTTTCAAGGGAGGTAATGCTTGAACTGCACATGGAAGGAAAAAGACAAATGTGTCAGACTGAGATAATGGAAAGTATAATTCCATACAAAAGGAAACAACTCATGTAGACTCACAAAGACACTTAAGAGCTCAACTTGTTTAGGGATCTACAAATAGTTCAACATTGTTATTATCTGGTGGGGGGAGGGGGCGGCAGGGGATAGTAGTAAGAAACACAGAAGAAAAGAATGTTAGGGAGGACCAGAGGCAGGAAAACCAATACAATTCTATTTAGAGTGGTTTGTGTGAGACATTATCTATATGAGAGAGTGACTGGATACCTTTAACTAAAACAGAGAATAAAGAAAAAAGGAACAGATTTTTTTTTTTTCTGGGGAATGTGAAGATAGGCTTTGTAACAAGATGTTTAATTTAAAGCACTTACAACACCTGAGTGGAGTTGTCCAGCAAACACACAGGTTTAGAGATCAAAAGAAAGATAAAGGCTTGAAATTGAGATTTATAAATCTTCAGCTTTAAGGGAATGGATGAGATTTCCCGTACATGAAGAGGGAGGAACACCATACATTAGAGGATTAAACTGCCTTTCCCATTTTATATGCTCAAAAATGTAAGTTAAGCTATTCTGTTAGGGCCAAAGAATGTACAATTTAATCCTGAAATCATAAGGTCAGCAATCTAAATAAGAATTCCATTCCTAAAAGCTTGTTTAGTCACATTATTTATTGTTATTAATGTTACTAGCAATCTTATTACAATGGTTCTAATATTGGCCCAGGGTCTCCCAGAAGATCCTCTATATTATCTACAACCCCAAAGCTCCCTGCACTAATCTATACTGGGAGGGTCCTCCAGACCAGAATGACCCTCTCTTAGATCAGATTTGATCAAGCAGTTACTATGAATGTGTTTTAAATTTTAATGCATTAAAAAATAAAAGTTTAAGTATGGTCCCTGTCTTTAAAAATGACAATTCTAGCTTGAGTGAAAAGACAAAAACACAAGTGATAAATCCAGCATATAATTTCATCTAGTCCTTGGACAAGCTGCAAGAGGTAATACTTTCTCCGTTTTCCATTGATACCAATAGCTATATATAAGAAAAATGGTTTTGCTTTTAATGGCAATTTTATGAAAAGCCACTAGATGGGGATATTGCCTTTGAAAATGTTGCTCAAGAAACTATTTTGATCACAGTAACTCGTAGAACCATAAAGAGTCTCCATACCCTTTAATAGGTTTAGAGATTTTAAATCCTTCATCTTAAAGTTGAGAATAATAAGACAAAGATTAAATGACTTGCCCAAGATTCCACAACTGCTTAAATAAAGGGCAATGCCAGGACTAGAGCCAAAGTCTTCTTTATTGAGTCCTAAAGGTGTTATGTTCCTTGCATTTAAAAAGTAAATGTGCGAAGTTACAGTTTCGCCTTTAGAAAATGAAATTAACTTCAGTTTATATGGAAACCACATATTTATTTATATGGGACGTTCACATAAAGAGCAAAAGGTATCCCATCATTTGGGAAAGCACTGGAGCAATGACATGGTAAAATAAAAACTCAGAAGTGGGTATATTACTGTGGCTGAAAGTTTCAGAAGAGTTAAAGTAACTACTGAAAAACAATGAACAGGTATAAAGAAATAGACAAAAACCTCTGGTCTCAAATTCTGTATTTCCAAAGGCCAAATGGGAAGTATAAATATTGATATATAAAATAAGAAAATGATTACTGAAGTTTAAAGAAATCATTTCCCCCTAATTTTCCACAGTGGTTCTCCTTTCTTCCACTATAGCACACCTGATGGTGATCCATACTATGTCACACACACACACACACACACACACACACACACACCTCCATCCTGAATTCCTAAGTATTGACTATACCTCCATCCAGCTCTCAAATTCAAAAAAGATATCTGAAACTAAATAAGTGAGGATATAGTTGAAGCTATTCCAGTGGTAAGCTGAAATGTGCTCTATTTAGAAACAAAAAAATCTTACAGTAATTTCCTGAACACTTCAGTTATTCTGTCTATAACAGCTATACTTAGAAAATACTTCAAAGTGACTTAACATTTGGATGAGTTTTATTACAGTAAAGCCTTACCTTTCTTCCTGCTTATAATGACAAAGAAATATGAATGAAAAATCATTTGTTAGATGTTTATTTCAAGCAATGTCTACAAAAGTTGGGACAATATTAGATCTACTAAAGGCAGGATGTTAAAACTTGGTATGTTATTAAAATTTACTAGGACAATGTATGTATTTTAAAGTCATTCCATTAAAATAAAACCTACTTCTCTGATTTTAAAGAAACTGGAATTATTCAAATTTGAAAAAGAAAAGTTTTAAGAGAGTGCATAAGCCCTTAAAAGACAGGCTATTTGGTTACAAAACAACACACCAAGTTTTTAGTCACGAATTTGGGTAAGCAGAAAAATTTAGTATACATTACCTGAAGATGCAAATTTTAAATTTTCTACTTTTGTAAGCTCAAAATTCCTCTATCAGTTCAGTAAAGCAATGGGGACCATGGCTCAGTGAACACACCACAACCTTGGCACTCCACTGATACTCAACATTCCATTTTAAAAGGTAAAATAAATAGGAAAATGGAGTTTGACTTTATAGTCAGTTTTTCTGGAACATATCTATTCCAATATAAGTAAGTACCAGCATAAAAAGAATCTATAAGATGAAATATGGTAATTTAGCTGTTCTCCAGCTCCACTGAAACCTAACATGAAAACAAGAAGAAAGGGATTTACATTCAAGTATGACACACACCTGTATTAGGAAAGGATGATCTAAACTACAGTGAAATCTCAATTAACCAGCCAGGTAGACAAAACCCTTAATATTAAGCAGGATTTTCCCTTAAAGAACAGTCACTAAAATTTAGTTGTTCAACTATACAAACATACATCAAGAGAAGTTTTAGATTAAGAGCATATTTGGCAAAAAATACAATAAAAATTAAAATAAAAAAAAGGAGCATATTTGGCCAGTTTGGTTTTTCCTTGTTTCTACCAAGAGGCATTATTATATATGATGGAAAACAAACAAACTGGGAGTTGGAAACTTCAAACTATACACTCTTGACTCTGCCAACAAGTATTTTCTGATCTTTAAAGTCACTCAACCCTTTCAGTTTTCCCAAATGCAAAATGAAGGTTACAGTTTTTAAGCTTTAAAATAGTTTTAAACTTAAAAAACACACACACGATGCTTTCTTAAAATAAAATAATCATTAGAAGTATAGCAAGTCAAACAAGTAAAAGTGGAAAAGCTCTGGCTAATGGGGAATTAGGTGGCTGGAGCCCTGTCCGTAACAACTGGTCTACACCATAATTTCTGAGGGGTTTAAGGAATTCTAATGGATCTGAAACACACCATTTAAAAACCTCTCCACACCAAACAATGAAAGGAATTTTCAGAATGATGTGACAGCCACAGCAGCGAGATTCAAAAATAAACACATTTTTCACCATAAAAAATTCAAACGAGGATTTTATGAACTAACCAGAAACTGGCCAACATTCAGTGAAAATAAAAACCTATTTCTGAGAATTTCAATTAATGATACATCACTCTATTAAATTATGGTTACACTAAAGAACTTACAGAATAGCCAAACATAAATTATCTCAGAATATGTATCTGAATATAAAGAAACACTCCTGTTTGAAAGGAAAGAAATGGGTCAACATAAAGATATATTAAACCCAATTAATTTTGTAGTATATTTACATAAAACCCATTACACTTCACAAAAGTGTTTTATTTTGAAATTCCCTATCATTTTTTTTTTTAGATTTTATTTTTAAGTAATCTCTACACCCAAAATGGGGCTCAAACTTACAACCCTGAGATTAAGAGTCACATGCTCTACCGACTGAGCCAGCCAGTTGTTCCCACATTAGTTCTAAGAAGACAAGTCATATTTCACTACCACCAAGCCCAAAGGAGCCAAATGGGATATACATCCCAACTGCAGCAAGGGAAGCTCCACCTGGAAAAGTTAGACAATGGAACTTCCTATTGTTTAAACAAACAAGTTTTTTTAAAATAAAAGGCTCTAATGAAATTAAAACAAATATAACTATAGATAAAACTATAGTTTAAGAAAAACAAGTCCAAAATATAACTAAAACAAAGTTTGTAAGTTTAAACATGCAATATAAGATTTTTCACTAAACACAAAAATCACGAACATCTTAGTATCTGGATTTGCATTAGAAATTTAAGTATGACTTTTACAAAATTCCTAAGTTCACTTAAGATACATTTAAAATGGCACATTTTTAAAGAAATTATATTTACCTGTAAATGAAGAAAAAACCAATTATTCTTAAATTGAGATAAATACATAAGATTTGTAATGAAAACAGTCAATCGAATATGGTATAAAATTATATTATTTCACATATATAACAATGAATAGAAAATTTCCCTTTTCTTAAAAAAAATCAATAAAATATTCTTAAAACTGGTCAATTCTATTGTCTGTAATAGTCATTTGAAAGCACTCTTACCTTTCTTCTGAGCTATACAATCGAGCAAGTCCAAAATCTGCAAGTTTTATTTGCCCTCTGGCAGAAGACAAAAGGAATAAAAACGTATTAGTCTACTCTGAAATCATATATATTTATATCCACTGATAGATATCTAAACATATCACACATATTCATTTTCTATTCTTAAAACTAATAAAAATATACTAATATAAACTTTAACTTTCATCACACAGCAGTACACTAAGTCCTACAAGGAAAAGCAAATAGATATACTCATACATAAGGTTAAAAAAAAAAAAAAAGTAGTACTTTTCCTTTGGTAATTTCAGCTCCTATTATTCTAGTACCACCACCACCACCACCGATACTACTACTACTATACTAGTATTAATAGTATTTTAGCACTATGTAAGAGTTCCTATTTAGAAAAGTACATTTCAATGAAAATAAAACAAACTGAGATCACTTCTGCTACTTAGTAATTAGACATATTACTTGTTCAATTCAAATCAATAATGCATATGAACACATTGTTTTATTTTCTAGTTATTAGAGGGGCTAGGTACATAAAAACCTTTCTACTAAAATCAGAACCAGGCATGCCTCACTTAAACTAACGAGTAGCACCAAATACAACAAAATTATCAGAGCTCAGGTTATGCTGTCAGTAAAATGTTTAACATAAGCTTTAAATACCTAGTTATGTAGGGGCACCAAGGTTGCTCAGCCAGTTAAGCATGTGACTCTTGATTTTAGCTCAGATCATGATCTCAGAGTCATGAAGTCAAGCCCCATGTCAGGCTCTGCACAGGGCATGGAGCCCGCTTAAGATTCTCTCTTTCTCTTTCCCTCCCCCCATCCTTTGCTTGCACTCTCTCAAAAATAAAATAAAATAAAATAAAATAAAATAAAATTAAATTAAATTAAATTAAATTAAATTAAATAAAAAATAAAATAAAATATAAAATAAAATATAAAATAAAATAAAATAAAATAAATAAATAAAATAAATAAAATAAAATAATAAAATTAAATTTAAAAACCCCTACTTATGTGCATGTAAACATACTTCAAAAAAGTTCGCTTTATTTTTTTTAAAAAGATTTTATTTATTCATGAGAGACAGAGAGAGAGAGAGAGAGAGAGAGGCAGAGAGCAGGGGGCCTGCTTCTCTCTCTGCCTGTGTCTCTGGATTCTAGGACTCCAGGATCACACCCTGAGCCAAAGGCAGACGCTTAACCACTGAGCCACCCAGGCGTCCCAAAAAACTTCACTTTAAAACTGTGATACTGGGGGGGAAAAAAAAAATGTGATACTGGTATAAAAAAATTTCTAAATTAAAAAAAAAATTCTTAGATCTATTCTTAACCTAAAGCCAAAATCATATTATTAAGTACTAAAATATCCATTTACAGTATTTGGAAAAAATAAAATGAGAAAACCAACCAAGCCAACTTATTTTATGTACATTAAAAACTATTATTGGAAATTAAAAATTTGTTTTTAAGGATTCCATTTATTTATTCATGAGAGACACAGAGAGAGGCAGAGACACAAGCAGAGGGAGAAGCAAGGCTCCTTGTGAGGAGCCGGATATGGGACTCGATCCCAAGACCCCGGGATCATGCCCTGAGCTGAAGGCAGACATTCAACTACTGAGCCACCCAGGTGCCCCTAATTAAAGTATATTTAACACAACTTCAGATGCAGCTGAAGCCGTAATATTGGTGATTATGTTAAAAGTTTGAGCAATAAAATAAATTTTAAATCTTTTTAACAGAATCATGATATATGTAACACCCACTTTAAATACATATATCAAACTTACATCATACCTATTGTTTAGAAGAATATTTGAACACTTAATATCTCTATGCAAAAAGTTCTTCTTATGACAATAATCCAGACCTTCCATGAGCTGTCTCATAAATGACTTTATGTGATTTTCATTAAAATGAACCAAGCCTGATTCCAGTAGTCCCATCAGATCATGGTCCATATATTCAAACACCAGATAAAATGCACCTAAGAGCAAGAATAATGAATTCATTAAAATTTTTTATTCTTACAACTTTTTTATAGGTTAAAAATTTTAAAAATTACAATGCTGTGGAAAAAATTATTTCTTGAAAAGAAGTCCTACTTTGTCACTTCAATAACATTCATCTTTCTCTCTGAATTTATTATCAATAAATGCATCCCAAGGAAACCTCTAACTCAGTTTTCTTCTTTCTTCAAAAAGAAGAAAACTGTTAAAATATAAAATCAACCCTACAGTGCATAGTTTCTGGGTGTGATTAACATAAAATAAGTTCTTAACTATTTTATATATTGAACAAACTGTCTCTCAGCAGAAGCTGAATAAAATCAGTACAGTTCATTAAAGAAAATTTAAAAGTGATAAAAGAATTGTGTTCCATAAAAAAAAGTCTGGGCCCAGTTGGGTCTTCAGATGATTTCTATAAAGCCTTCAATAAGCATATAATTTAATTCTGTTTATACAGCTCCAGAGCATTTGAAAACAAACTGCAACTTTATTTTATAAAACCAGCTTAATCTTGCTACCAAAACCTAAAATAGCACATAGCACATATACAACTGTATTTATAAGAAATTCAAAAGTCCTAACTGAAGCTCATACAAATTGAATCCAAAGCTGTATCTAAAAGTATTCCAAAGTTTAATTTATCAATTCAAGAATGGAAAAACTAATAAAAGTAAATATATCTATCAAAGAAAATAAGTTATTAATATGCCAAAAAAGTTATCTGAAGAAAGCCAATATTCAGTTCCTAATTAAAAACAGAGTGAAGATCTCACTCATAGTAAAGGTAGAATAATTCTTAAAAGTTGGAAATTAAAGAGTGCACTTGTGATGAGCACTGGGTGTTGTATAGAAGTGTTGAATCACTAAACTGCGCACCTGAATCTACACTGTATTTTAATTAACTGTAATTTAAATAAAACATTTTTTAAAAGTTTATAAATGGTACCTCTTTCAAGCCAACAACCAAGTAAAACAAAAGGAAAATATTCATTACTAGTAACTGCTCTAGAAGTTAGTAAAATTATTACTTTTTTTTGAAAGTCAGTAAAATTAAAGACAATGTATAAACACTGAGAGAAAAATACAATTATTGATGGATGACTATTTTCCTTGAAAATCCAACAGAATAAAGAGAGAGTACCTAGGTTAGAGAAAATCATATATAAAAAGCAAAAGACTTCACACACACAAGTAACAACTCATTAGAAAATAAATTTTAAGTATCTCCACAAAAGGAAAAAAAATTACTACAAATGACTAGGAATAAACTTTAAAAAGACATACAGAAATTCATGAAATACCAAACTGTTAAATTCTGTATTTTAAAACAATTTCAATAAAAGAACCAAGGATTTGTTTCTATTTTCTTTTGCTGAGAGGATACTTATCTTCACAAAATAATTCTAAAATTCACCTTACAGAAAACAAGAACCAAAGTACCAGCCAAGTGTTTCTGAAAATTAATCTACCAGAGATTAATATTATCTGTAAAAGTGTAATATATATCATAAAACAAAGTCTAAATACAGATCTAATAATTATGAAAGTAATCATTTTAAGTCAATGAAGAAAAAAAGAGGGAAACTGGTATTGAGACAAACGTGTAACACCACAGGGAGGTGGGGAGTTACTCCAAAGACAAAACAAAACCCCATTAAAAAACCAACAGATTTTACTAAATAAAAATTTAGAATCACGTACCTAAGTAAACAATATGGAAGAGAGGTAAAGGCAAATGACAAACTGGAGAAACATATATGCTACAAAATTAGAATAATATCCTTAATATCCTTAATATTATTTATATATATATATATATATATATATATATATATATATATATATAACAAAGTCTTACAAATCAGTACATATCCTACAATAGAAAATGAGAAATAAAATGAACTGCCAATATGCAAAAGATATTTATGCCCAAAATACATGAAAACATTGGGGCACCTGGGTGGCTCAAGTCGGTTAAATGGCTGGCTTCAGCTCAGATTATGATCCCAGGGTCCTGGAACTGAGCCTGAGCCCTACGTGGGATTCCCTGCTCAGCGAGGAGTCTTGCTTCTCCCTCTGTCTCTGCCCTCCACTTGTGCTCTCTCTCTCAAATAAATAAAATCTTATAGTATACAACTTTAACTGAAGGGAAAAGATTTTATTTTTTAAAGATTTATTCATGAGAGACACGGAGAGAACAGAGAGCATGGCAGAGATACTGGCAGAGGGAAAAGCAGGCTCCCTGATGTGGCACTTGATCCTGGAAACCCGGTATCATGACCTGAGCCAAAGGCAGTCGCTCAACCACTGAGTCACCCAGGTGCCCCTAAAGGGAAAAGATTCAAAAAGAAAGACAATAAATACATAATATTAATAAATACTGTGAAGTATAAACAGATACTGTTTTATAGTGCCAGTAAATTAGAAGATTTATAAAATATTAGCCAATATACAACAAAGCTTTAAAAATTATATTCTTTTACATAGCAAATGTAAAGATTTAGCTATAACCATGTTCACTAAAAGAAATGTAGTATTAAATATTTAAAAGCAAAACAATAAGCAAACAAAAAAGAAACAAAAAACCTGAGTTATTATGATACATCTATACCATATCATGCACCTTGAAAATTACTGTAGAGGTATAATATCAATGTGGAAATGTATTAATGATGTTGAGTTAAAAAAAGTAGGTAGATTATAAAATAAGTACTCAACAGATCTATATTTGATGGTATTAAATAACAGAGAAAGTATTTAGAGTTTGCACAGTGCAATACCGTTGCCACAAGTCACATGTGGCTATTGGACCCTTGAAATGTGGCCAGACCAAATGTGCTGCAAGTATAAAGCATTCACCAGATTTCAAAGAATTACTACAGCAACAAAAAGAATATAAAATATCTCAATAATTTGTTATACTGATTACATACTGAAATGATCTAGTAGGTATACTGGGTTAAATAGAAATATTTAAATTAACAACTGATTTTTTTTAATTAGGCTAACAGATTATTTTAAATTAAAATATAATGGTTTGCATTCTATTTCAATTAGAACTGAATTAGAGATACAAGAATTGACATAGGAGAGCTAAGATTATCTCTCTATGCAGATAACATGATCTTTTGGTCCCTGAAAAAAAACATAAACATTCAAAGGGAAAAAAAATTAAACACAGTAACACAATTCAGAAAAACAGAAAATATACAGTAGTCATTAACATAATTACCAGTTAAAAGACAAAATAGACTATTTCTAATAAGATATTAATTTTTCAAACTTAGGAAATGTACCAATTCTTCAAAGCTAAAGTAATAAGACACTCTTATAAGACAGAAAACTATGCAAAAAAAATGCATACATTCTTAGATAGGAAAGCTCAACATAATAAAGATGTCAATTTTCCCTAAATAATTTATAAATTAAGCACAAGATCAATTTTTATCTTTTTAAAATTTTTATCTATTTATTCAGAGAGGGAGAGAGAAAGAAAATGTGAGCGGAGGGAGGGGCAGAAGGAGAGAGAGAATTTCAAGCATACCCTGTGCTTAGCACAGAACCTCAGGCAGGGCTCACTTGATCTCATGACCCCAAGATCATGACCTGAGCTGAAATCAAGAGTCAAATGCTTAACCAACTGAGCAACCCAAGTGCCCTGACAAGCTCAATTTTTAAAAATACAGAGTTTTTCCTATAATTAAACATAAAATTGATGCTATATCCATGTAGAAAAATAAATAAGAATAGCAATGAAAACACCTAAAAGAGAGAAGGGGCATAAGGCACTATCAGATATTTATTAATGTCTATTAACTAAAAAGTATAATATTGCTAAGTGAACATGAAATGAAACAGAAATCCAGAAATATACCCAAGCATATATAGAACTTTAATATATGATAAAGATAGTGTATTAATGCAATGGGACCAAAGATAGACTATTAGGCATATTTGAGGAACTGAATGGGCAGATAGAAATAGATATAACTGATCTGTTACTCAAAACATGTACCAGCATAGAAAAAAGCAAATTAACTAGTGCTAAATATAAAAAATAAAATCATGAAAAGATTTTTTTAAAAAACATGAATTTCTTTATTACCTCAGAGAAAGGAAAACTTTCCTAACTAGGAATCAAATCAAGAAGCAGTAAGAGAAAAACACTTTGATAATGTGAGTATGTAAAACTAACAATTTACTGCATGGCTAAAAACACTACAAATAAATTTAGAAGAGTAAAGCAAACTGACAAGTATTCATTTACAACTTATATTCCGGAAAACTAATTAATATACATTATAAAAAGTCTAAGTTGGAAAGAAAACGATTAACAAGCTTACAGAAAAGTGAGCAAAAAAAAGATAACTCACCAGGAAACAAAAAAAGGGCAGCAAACTGCCATTAAATCAATGGAAAGTTGCTTAACCTTGCTCATGATAAAAATTTATTTTTCAAAAAAATTTTTTTTAATTTTTAAGAAATTAAAAAAAATACTCTTCAAACAGAAACTTCACCACAATAACAAACTGACAAAAATCCTAAATATTTTGGACACCAGACTCTATCCTACTGCAGAAGCTGTGAGGAACATCTCATACACTGCAAGGAATTTGGCAATATCTAATTTAATCACATTTAGCATTTCCCTTTGACTTAATAAGCCCAATTCTAGGAACCTGTCACAAAATAAAAATACATAATTACATGGGCACAGAGCTGTTCAATGAAGCATTATTTCTAACAGCAAAATACTGAAAACAAAGCAACATTATTTCTAACAGTAAAATACTGAAAACAGTCAGTAAGAGACTGAATAAACTGTGGCACATCCACAGGGTGGAGTCTTTATAGCCATAAAAAGGGATGATGACAATCTCTACTGAAATGGAGTGATCTTCATGATACATGACTAAATGTGAAGAACCAGGCACAGCAGAACATTTACTATTATGCTCCTTTTATATAAAGAGGGGAG